AAATAAAATACTCAGAGCTCTTTGAGGTTTTATTGATAATGAAAGTACTGACTGCAGAATAGGTGGCGATTTTTTCATCTTTATTAAGCTAGGGAGCAAGGAAAGTGTGATCCAGTCTGAATTTGAAAGAAGTCTGAGCTTTCTTTGTGAAGGGCTCAAGTGAATGTATCGATAACTTTATCATATGTGGGACTAAGAAAGGGAGAATTCTTCACTTACGACTCACATAAACAGCAGGATGAAGAGCATACGTTTCAATATTACTGTAAAGATGCTGATTTTGTCTCCCAGAGTTTTGTGTATGCCGCTGATGAACAGGGACAGTTCCTCAGTGTGCAACCATTTTGAACTGGAAACAACGCTTCAACACATGCTTGGGAATTGCACGTGGACTTGCTCACTTATATGAAGAATTGGAGTCGGGTATGATTCACAGGTCCTAATTTTCAGTCTCAAAGCTTCTCCAAAGAAGAAATACGTTTTGATTCTTTTCTGGAATTTATAAGTCACAGCTACGGAATTTTGGAGGGCGTAATTTTTAGCATCAAACCTCTGATGTATGATACAATATCCAGAATTTATTTCACATTTTATTTTTACACAGCCACATCTATCATTGGGCTTTCTGCATGCTAGTGCTTCGCGTAGAGCTCACTTTGGGGCCTGTTATCTCTTCGATTTATAAACTGACTCCTACCGCTGATCTGTTAGAGGCATTACGCCTCAGAACATTCTTCTGGAAAATAATTACAAAGCAAAAATCGCTGACTTTGGACTCGTCCGTCCTGCCAATGATTCAAACCACACACTATTTACCATCAACGTTGGAGGAAGGAGGTAAACCTTATAGCCCTATGAAATTTACCTCGTCATCCATGTGTATGAAATACACGACACTTCCATTCAATTTCTGAGATACCCAGCTGCGACTTGAATGTCATAGGCCCTCACAGCAAGGAAGTAAAAAAGTTGGATCACTTTCCATGGATGTATAGGGGCTACTTTTTACCAAATGTTATGATCAAACGTAGTTTGTGGAGCTGTGAATCCTCATCGACCCGTCAGCCTAATCGACGGTGATCAAGCTAGAGTCTGGTCGGCGTTTGAGGTACCCGGTTCTCTCGGTTATCTTCAAGTACAGAGCAACGACACCGTCATCCGTGTCCTTTACACTCAGAATTGAACCAAGTGAAAGCACCATTGAAGCACCTGTTCTGATAAATGAAGCTGCGATACATGGTGAGCTTGCATCGGTGGCACTGATAACTTCAAAAGTTGATGGTAAGTGAAGGCCACAGTTACCATTTTCTGTCGTTTGCTCGCCGACAGCTTTGCTTGCAAAATTTGCTGAACAGGAATATTCATAAAAAGACGAAAAAGACTGATGTGGTTTCATCTCCTTTAACTTTCTCAGTTGATGCATTTAGATGGTTTTCTACCAATTTGGTATCAAATTCCCTAGACACAGCTGGCGATCCATGCCTCCCAATTCCTTGGGACTGGCTAGTTTGTAGTATCGAATTGCCCCCTACTATAACACAAATGTGAGTTTTTAACTCCCAGATTTCTGAAAATAATCACTTTCCACCATTACGATCTGAATTTGTAGCAGCATAGCAACTTGCCCCCTTCTGATAATGGATTGAAGGTAATCTGCATACATGCAGTGGACGATAAATAGGTCCACGCTTGCAAAGTGCGTATTTTGCTGCGAAACCTTGGCACGCGAAGACGACGTTAGTAAGGCTTTGTTGGCGATGCAGAAATCTTTATGAGAAAGCCGTGTGGGGAGAGTTCGACCTGGAAATATCATTGCTAAGTCGTTTGACCGTCTTGGACTTTTCAAATAATACATTCAATGGACGCGTGCCACTAGCATTAGTGAATGTTTGTACACTGAGAGCGCTGTAAGACTCAGAGATGTATCCCCTCAGATCTCTACAAACTATGTTTACCTTGTTGATTTGCGAGTCAGTGATCAATTCGAGAAGTTATTTACTGTGCTCGATGTGATCAGATGTGCGGCGGTAATTCTCGTTTACCATCATTGCTCTACCTGATGGTGCTGGGCATCCACCTTTTATTTCTCAGGTCACTGAAGTTTACATTTCGTGACTTCCTACTGTTTTCTTGCTGTGCAGGGATTTTTCACGAAAGAACTTTTCTGGTCAAATTCCGCCTTTTCCTGCAGATTCTTTCATGAGTTTGGAATATATGTGAGTACTACGTCATCAGCTGCAATATATACTTTTGTTTTGCTAAATTAAGGTTCAATGTCAATTCATTACTATGAACTAGGCCAAACTTTGCCAACTGTTACAACTCATGTTTCATGAGTTGAAACAGAATCAATCATCATTCAACTCATGAAACATGAGTTGCAACAGCATCAAACCATGAAAAACATTTAGTAATGATGTGCTGAAGTTGTTCAGGTAACTGTGCAGATCATGCTCCCAGAATCAGCTCGTTGGCAACCTCTCGTATTTGATACGGTCTTCGGCCCAGTCGGTCAAAGGGATGTGAGTGTGCTCTCTCTCTGTGTTCCCACCCCGTTACACACGACGGCCCTTAGGACCTCAATCGACAGGACGATTGAATTCCGAATAAATACTCGTAAACTGATTCGACAGCGCAGGCACTTGCACGGCCATTTGGACTGCGAGGCCCTGCAAGGGGTGAGTCTCTCTCTCTCTGTCTGTGAGTTCTTTAAAGCAAAATTTGTGTGAAAAGGCAGAAGTGACTTCAAATCTGAACTTACTTGAGATGTTGACCAAATGTTCAGAAATGCTTTCATCGGACCCATTCCTGCGGAAATTCTGAAGTTTGAGAATGTGGAATGCTTGGATTTGTCAGGGAACAACTTGTCTCAAGGTTTACCCACTGAGCTAAGAAAATTACAAAGCTTGAAGACACTGTGAGTATATCCTCCTGCAATCCCTTATGATATGAGAGCTTTTGATCTTGTACGCTGATTCTTGTGACTGAGTCCTATTTTCGGTATTGAGTTACTGCAGAAATTCTCTACTTCTCCGCGGAGGGACCACTCCCTCGGGTCTATACTAATTTCATTATTGGATTCTTGAAACTGCACGTCCAGATATTTGAACGATAACTCCTTGTCAGGCGAAATCACAGATACTCTCTGGAGCTCTAATCTCGAAAACATGTAAGTCGTGGTCCCAGGACCTAGTAACTTCACCCCTGATCTCTTATCCAGTATGCTTTTCACAAGTTTCTCAGATACGTAATGTGGAATTGTGGCCGAGAACATTGGAGATTCAAAGTACTTCACATCATCCTAGTACAAAACATCACTCGAAGTTGAGAAAGTGTGTCGGAAATCCTTTTCATTCTAACGGTTGTTCCACTGTCTAAGACGAGTAAATAAGCATGTGTTTATTTTCGTCAAGGCTGTAAAATCCTGCTGCTCGTAGCGCATAGACATCTCGTGTCCCGAAGAAGAACAATGAAACTGGAAGGCGGGATAGCAAGTTTAACGTCGCTGATTGTTTCTGCGCTTCTCAGCTTCACCTCGCATTTCTACCACTTTCGTGTCACTTTCAAAAGTTGAATCTTCAAACTTCGTGTCGTATCGTCTTTCGTCGCTCCTAACATACATAAGATTGCAAGAAAGATGGGCTTTTGAAGGCTGCTATTGGTCCTGAGATTTTGGGGTGCAGCAAGGGTGTATAGGAAGCTTTTGTTAGTCAGCAGATGAACCACCTCCGTAGCTTCCAATGGAGATTCCCCTGATCATACTGCAATGCATTCGAGGTCAGGTTTAGGAATTAGAATTTTCTCGAAGTATTTTTATAGTTTTAGCACATTTTTAAATCTTCGTGTGAGGTTCTGATTTCTGCATCCACTGCTGTCTAAGAGATGATTGGTTTCAGGCTTCATTCGCATCAACATCAACTGTGGTTGTGAGGTCGACACGGACCCAGACACAACCTTGGAGTTGAAGTGGTAGAACTGGCTGAAGAAGGTGTCACGATCAACGCTACTGTAAACCTCAATCCAACCGTTGGTTCCGGAAACAAAGCTGAAGAACTGAAAACTGCTCTTGCTTTAAACCGGGGTAATCCTGACCGCAAGGCTTGATGGAATTTCTATTACAAATTGCCCGTGGGTTTCAATGAAACACATGAAAAAAAGTCTATGGCCGACAGGAAACGTTCCTATGCTCCTAAAGTTCAGCTGCTGTTGCGGGATTTCAAATGCACAACATCTTCTCGACGAGCCTAGAAATTGAAGAAACTAAATTGAGAGCAACACCACCACAAACTCACCATCTTCGATCGGTGCAGTCTCCGACGACAATCATCCTGTAAGCGAAAATCCTTTCTTACAGTCTGAACTGGCTCCGATCTTGCCTGCTCCAAACTCAAGTAGCTTGGATTGCTTAAACAGATGATCACTTCCGAACTGTTTCCGTCGATACTCGCATCCCAAAGATCAACAGGAAGTACGTTGGACTCATGGAGATGGAAAAAAGTGCTCTAAACATCAATCGATGTGATCTCAAAGGCTTGGAGATGTTCATTGGTGCCACAATGATAGTAAGGGAATGTTTCTAGTCTTCATCTAAAGATAAATACCCCGCTCTTACAGGCGTGTATTTTAACATGGTCGTCACCACGCGGTGTCCGAAGCTGAACGCTCCTTTGATGCTCTTAGCACGTACACGATTTGCTGGGTTATCTTAGACAGAATCTGCAGGTGATCCCAATATGACCATTTTCTGAAGTTTTTTTTCATGCATCAACATCCGGCTTAAACATCTGCTTTACTCCATTCTAGCGTGGCGAACATCAACTGTCATCAAAAGAGATATGTTGTACTTGTCGGCCTAGATAGCGAGTGACGGTGTCAAAATGGAGTTCTTATATTGCCGTGGGCGTAGTACGCGGAGCATAGCATTTAACTGATCTGTGTGATAGCGCTGCAGATTTCTGCCCAGGCTAGAGCCGTGATATCTGGCGACTAATGGCGGGTAGTGCCTTGTGTCAATTATCTTTGCGACTGAGATTGGGGAGCAGAAGCACAATGTATTGGGCTGGAATTCTTTCTGGGGTCTTACTCTCGAACCTTGTTCTCTCCCCGGTCCTCTCGCAGTCTACTGGGGCTTCTCCAGAAGGTGAGTATGTGAAGTGGCTTTCCATGGTGAGTTTAGCGGAGATTATTTCAATTTATTTCAATCATACCTTGCAGCTCCATTGAAAGCCTGAATAGGCTAAGATTCTTTTGCTCGTTCCATTATTTCTTCGGCATGAGAATTGCCAACGTGATTCCAGATGCGAATCACTTGGAATTGTGTGAAGCTGTGAAAAAATAAAATCCGGCCAGTCCGGAAATGCTGATGAACTTCTTGCGCCTTAGGATTCATAAGCATCAGCTGTGGCGGCCTGAGTGGAGTAGACCCTATCACCTCACTCGAGTGGATCACTGATGAATCTCATCTGCAGTCATTCGAAAGTCTTTCTCAAGAGAAGGTGATCATCACCGCCGACGTTTATTACATCGAGAGCTCACTGAGCGTGCCGAATGGCGAACAGTTGCAAAGTGCTCTGGTGTTTCTTCCCATCCAACTGACACGCTCGAAGTTTTGCTACAACTTGCCAATTGCATTTAACGCAACTGAAGGATCACGAAATTATCTTCTTCGAGCAATGTTTCCCAGCCAAAATTTGACTGTGAATGGAACTGCATTATCGGGATACACCACTCGGTTCTACCTTACTGTAGATTCCACCTACATCACCACAATCGAGCTACTGCCATCTATGCCGCAGACAATCGAGCTGGTCGTCTCTTCAATGGATGAAAAATTTTACGTTTGTCTCGTGCCCTTGGAAGACAAGTCCTCAATGCCAGCTATCTCAACTCTGGAGTTGCGTCCGTTCAATCTACATACCTATGGCAGATCTGGTCAGTCGGAAGACAAGCAACAGTCGAGCTATCTCATGCTGGTTGATCGTATGGACTTTGGAGGAAAACTTGACACTGAGTCGCCTCCTCTCAGGTGAACATGCGAATGAGAATTGAAGAAGAGTGGAGCGAGACTAGCTTTACCTCATCATGCTGTCCAGCATGTGAACTGCATGGTGACCATTTACGTTTTGCTTCGTTCTGCACGCAGGTATCCCGCAGACCCTTTCGATCGTATATGGTCGTCCCCACGAATTCCCGAAGGAGCGCAGTTTGAGGCTTACAACAGGACCGAAGATGCAAACCTTGGGTATGGCGGGTACAGAGTTCGCTTCCCTATTGCAGTTATGAGATCGATATGGAGGGGAAATAATATAACGTCCTCCATTCACTTTGAGGTTGATGTGAAGAGTGCTAGAGCCCTCCGTCCACTACCAACAATCTGGTTCCAGATGTTATGTTCAAACGTAGTTTCTGGAGATGAGAATCCTCATCAATACGCCCAAATATTCGACGGTGATACAACTTGGTCCTGGGAAACGTCAGAGGTACCCGGTTCTCCCGATTATATATCTTTTTCGAGCTACGACCAGGTCATCCGTAGCGATTCGTTTACAATAACAATCTACCCAAATGAAACCACAGAAGCACCTGTTCTGGTAAATGCAGCCGAGATTCATGGTGAGTTTGCAGCGGTGCCAGTAAGAACTTCAAAACCTGATGGTAAGTGAAGGCCACAGTTAGCATTTTATGTCGATTGTTCACCGACAGCTATGCTTGCAATATACAGTCATTGAATGACTGAGAAATTAACACGGTTTTGTTTCTTCAAACTTTCTCAGTGAATGCAGTCAGGAGGTTTTCTCTCAAATTCGCATCAAGTTCTCTAGACACAGCTGGCGATCCGTGCTTGCCAGTTCCTTGGAACTGGCTAGTCTGTAGCATCGAGTTGCCCCCTACAATAACCCAAATGTAAGTTTGTAGTCCATAAATTTCTTACAATGGCACTGATCACACAATCAGAATCTACATCTGTAGCAACACTAGAATTGACAGACTCTACATCTATAGAAACACAAGAATTGATCTCCGTCTCACAATGACCATATATAGCTCAAACCTTGCAAGGTAGGTATATTCATGCTAAACCTTTCCACGCACCGACGACATGAATAAGAGTTTGTTGACGTTGCAGAAACCTCACTTCGAAAGCCGTGAGGTGGAGTTGGACCTGGATTTTGATTTATGAGGTCGTCTGACCGTCTTGGGCTTGTCAAAAAAATATTGAATGGACGGATAAAATCCTGACTAAATATCTCTAGTGACTGTTTCTAAGATGAGATGCTCAAGGATGTTTCACATCAGATCCCTACAGTTTTTGTCTTCTTGTTGATTAACAAGTAGCTTCTTTTGACGGGTCCGTTTCTCTGACAGAAATCTTACTGGCGAAGGTGTGGCCGGTGTAGTGCCTACTGAACTTGGAAATCTGAGTCAATTGACGATTTTGGATCTGTCTGAAAACAATTTCAACGGGTCTTTCCCGTATTCTCTCAAAAGAATTCGCACTCTCAGAGAACTGTAAGAACCCAACTCACTCCTTTTCGGACGACATAGATGAAACAGGTGTTTCTATGATGTCAATGGTTCCATCAGTTGTGCGTACTGGGTGTGGTCATTGCAGTAATTCTAGCAATTTCATATCAATCTTTGTTTGAATGTGTATACTTGTAAGTTTGAGCACAACATCAAATATCATTTACATCGATCTAAAGATTCCAATCTGCATATCTTAGGAACTTGGGACACAACAAGCTGTCTGGAGAACTACCAATATTCAGTCCAAGATCACTTGACAATCTGGAAATGCTGTAAGTTGTTCAACATCTCACAACGCAAGTAAGATATTTCGTAACTTCAGAAATATTGACAAAATTCGTACATAATTATCGGTTGAAATCGTTTGACTTTTACATGTTATCTAGGTGAATTCAAATAACGAAACCAATTAACTCGTCAGCATTGTTGGCCGCAGTTTTGTCAACTTAAAGTCAAATGGCGTAGCTAGCTAGAGTTGGAAGACAACTTGGAGTGAAGTGAAATGTTTAAGTAGTTATTTTTCACGTAGGAAAGATGATTTTGTTCATTCTATTGACCTTGCCATTATTACTACTGCAGTTCACTGTCGAGCAATTTGTTCAGAGGGACACTGGATTCATTGATGGAAGCTTTAGACGAATCGATTAAAAACTTGTGAGTTCAACGATCAGTTTCTGTTTCCTGTTTTCTACCATTTTTAGAACGAGCTTCCATTATTGTTGGTCCCACATCCAGTGACATTCCGTCAGAGTTGTCACTCAATCAGGATAATTCATCCTGTACTATTCGAAGATATTGTATTTCACCATCTCCAAGAGCATTTTACCAAAATTTTGTAATCGAATAAAGAGGATAAATATAAAACTTTTGTTGCCTGCAGAGACCTCAGCAATAACAAATTCGTCGAAGCCGTACCTAGGAATATAGAAAAGCTAGAAAACTTGGAGAATTTGGATATGTCCAACAACCAATTGTCGAGCGTGTTAGCAGTCAATTTCAAAAAACTCAGGAATTTGAAAAATCTGTAAGTACACGTTTCAATCAGAGTGAAATTAGACTTGGACCTTCTGATTGAACAAAGTAAAATTTGACGTTAGGATTCCTTGCAGTCAAAAAATGTCTTTTTTTTATTTTTTAAAAGTATCTCGATTCTAAATGAGACTGAGGGAAAGAATTTTTGTTTCAGGAACCTGAGCTTTAATAATCTGAACGGTACAGTGCCTGACAGCATCTGGAACAGTCGCAATCTTCAATTTGTGTGAGTACGCAGTTCTCAGTCCTCGTATCATATCAGTAGATGATGTAGCAAAGTCACTAGATGTTGACTCATCTACATCAAGAGAAAACTTTTGAAGTGTGTTAGGATAAGCCAGATAAGTGGTCAAGTTCTGTATGATTTGAATTTCATTACTGCTTTCCTTCTAAGGACAGCGGCGATCGGAATATTATAGTCCATCCCTATTACTGGAATGGGATGTTGAAATTCAGTACTAAAATGACTCTTGAATGGATTTCATGTTCGATGTAGAATTTATCAACATTTCAAAACCTTTTAATCCAATTTCTGTATATACGTGTAGTTTCTCCAGACTTTATTGAAGTATGTCTGATTTGTTCACTCAGGAATTTAAGAAACAACAGCTTTGTGGAATTAAATCTTACAACATGGTATAAGACTGTCGCCGAAGGAAAGAGTCTCGACGCTCCTGGAATTCAGCTGCGTTTGACTGGAAATCAAATACACAGCATTATCTCACCGAGCCTTCAAACTTTAGAGAGTATAATAGTAACGCCACCTTCACTCTATGAGCAGCTGCTCTCGATACAGTCTCCACAAACTTTTATTATGTAAGTAATAAGCCTTCTTACTCTCTGACCTGGTTCAGATGTCCATATCTTGTCTCCCCCAAACGCAAATAGTTTGGATTGCTTATAAAGATGTTACTTTTACAACTGATTTATGTACCCGCATGTCGAAGTCTGAAAATTGAAGGATTATTACATTGCTGCTTAGATGCTTAATGGTTAGTTTTATGTTTAGAGAAAACTGCTTTAAAACGCACTCGTTGTATTTTTAAAGGCTTGGAGGTAATCCGTGGTGCCTAAATGATAATGACGGAGCGAATTTAGTATTCATCAAAAAGTACATGTGCCGATCTGACGAGCATGAGAACTTCTGGCCGTCCCCATGTGAGTTCTTCAGTTACACACTATTTCTTTTACTGTAACCAAGATCAAATTCGTTGGAACATATTGTGATCTATCTTCAGACGATGAATAGTCACATTTAGGCACATATAAGTCTTGTGTCATGCAAGAATGCAGGCTGAGATCATCTGGTTATGTGAAAGTCTAGCTTCACAAACATCAATTCTCCACATAAATCTGGTGTTGTATGTGAACGTACGCAGCAAACGATGGTGTCCAAACAGGAGTACTAATTGCCGTAGGCGTGGTATCTGGAATATTCGTGTTACTTATGAGTTGTTTAGTCATATTCTTCACGTGTAAAATGCGAAGACGTAGTCGTGAACTTCAACAGATACAGGAAGGTCAGTTGTCAGCACACGATTTTGAGGAGTCACTTGGGTCATCGTCTTGAGAATGAATGCTTGGTTTCAACTTTGTGGGTGGAAAAAGCTGCTCCTTCTTATTCGTATTAACGGCAGTACCCTTGAGTTTTCTCAGCTTTAGCAAAAGAGAACGTGAAGCCTCCATTTTTCAGCTACGTTGAACTCAAAACGGCTACACACAGTTTCTCAAGTTCCAACGAGTTAGGAAAAGGTGGATTTGGCACTGTTTTCAAGGTACTACTCCTAACTTTGTCACATGCACATCTCTAAAGCCTCTATAAACAATGAATAAGATTTCATCCATTTTTTCTGTCGGAGTAAGTCTTGTATCCTGGATATACAGTCATCTGTTTCACTAGGAAAGTGTAGAAAGTGGAGGGAGCCCATCGAAGTGTGACAAGTAACTGTCTTTGACAGGCTCAACTAGCAGATGGGAATGTTGTTGCTGTGAAGAGACTCACTCCGACAAAGCAGAGTACGTCGGACTTTTTGAAAGAAATGGTAAACATCTCGGGTATCAAACATAGACATCTGATTCAACTCAAGGGATGTTGTGTAAGGGACAATCACCAACGAATGCTGATTTACGAATACGCGGAGAACAAGAGCCTCGCAGAGACACTGTTTGGTGAGTCTCTTTTCATCTCCTACTTAATACGTCGGGAAGACTTTCACTATCGCATTATTTTGCCTTGCATAGCAAGTGCAGCTAGCATTCAGCAGCAAACATCCCAGATAGGTGAGGGACCAGAAATTATTGAGTTCTTTAATGCTAATGTATGTACTAGAATCACAATAGACACAGGTTTTTTCATGTAGATTAAGCTAGCGAGCAAGAATAATGGGCTCCATTCTTTGTTTGTGGGATGCTGAGCTTTTAATTCGAAGGGTTCAAGTGGATGTAAGTAACCTAGGATGTTTGGATATTAAGTAGCCTACGTGTATGTGAGACTAAGAAGGGGAGAATTTTTGTCTTTGGACTTATTATAGAATGGAATAGAGAGCATGCGGTTAAACACTGCGAAGAACATGCTGATTATCTCAGAGTTATATGTATGCGGCTGACCAATAGGTTTAGGTCTTAAATGTGCGGCCGTCTTGAACTGGAAACAACGTTACAACATATGCTTGGGAATAGCCCATGGACTTGCGTACTTACATGAAGGATTGCAGCCGGGTATGATTCACAGGTGAGAATGCTTGGACTCTAACCTCATCTGCAAACCATCAACGTTTTGATTTTGTTCTGTGTAGAACACATCTAAAGAGATGGGAAGGGCATGTGTTTTAACACCGAAAGCCCATGATGTACGATATCTCGTGCAGCTTGTACTTGGGCATTACACCGTGAAGACCGTGTATGCTTGTGCTTCGTTTAGTGCTTATTTGGAGGTGTTTGATTTCTCCGCTTTATACCCTTAGCCCTAAACCTGCCTCTGAACTCTCAGAGACATAAAGCCGGAAAATATTCTTCTGGACAAGAATTACAACGCAAAGATTGCCGACTTTGGACTCGTCCGGCCCGCTAATGATACAAATGACACTCTAATCACCATGAACATTGGAGGAACGAGGTACTTCTACAGGCCGAATTGATTCATGTGTATCAAAAACAGGACAGTTGCACTCAATTCGTGAGACTCGCAGTTGAGACTTTAATGTGGTATCCCCTTAGAACAAGGCACTAACAATTTGGATTACTTTCCATGCAACTATAGGGGCTACTTTTCACCAGAGTATGCACTAGAAGGCGTCGTATCCGAGAAACTGGATGTGTATAGCTTTGGTGTTGTCTTGCTGGAAATCGTTGCTGGAAGACCGTGCATCGATCTGAAGTTGCCACAGGAACAAAGTATTCTACGCTCCTGGGTGGGTGATTTTTAAATTTCACTGCATCATTATAGCACGAACCTTCCAAATCCAGCTCGTAAAGCTTCAGGCTTTTAGGAGATACTCATCTGCCTCCTTTCTCTGCTACTTCTGCCAATTTCACTCATCAGAATACAGTCGCGAATCTGATCACAGCTTTTTTCCTCTTCAGCCTCTCTCACCTTCATCACATGCGCAGGCTAGAACGTTGTACACGGAAGGCAAGGTTTTGAACTTGGTCGATAAAAGATTGGAGGGCGATTATGACGAAGAAGAAGTCCTGCTCGTGGTGAACATGGCTCTGTCTTGTTTGCAAACAGATCCCAAGAAACGCGCAACGATGTCTCAACTGGTGAACGTCCTCATGAAGAACTCAAATGCAAGTGTAGCTGTGGACATCGTCAACGAGCTAAAATTCCAGACACCAAACTTGCGGAGCATACCAGAGGACGAACACACCGTGAATTCCTATGCTGGTAACAGAGGCGTTGTAGGAGAATCAGATGAACTTTCTTTAATATCATCATTTGCCAACACTTCACAAGTATCGGTTGTGGTGCCTCGATAGTGCGTATATGATGTCATGCAGTATCTCAAGTACCTAGACTAGGTCGTCTGTACCCTACGTTCTGTCCCAGATATCTCAGTTGACATTACCTTTGCGTGTGATCTTGAGCCATTGACGAAGGGAGATTAGTCTACTATTTCTTATCCAAGATTTACAGTACGTGAGTTCAGCTGAAGACTAGTCCATTTACACGGAGCATGTATTTCTAATCTTCATGTTCAAGCATCATCATAGCTTAACAAGACATATTTGATATGACTAGCAACGGGGAAGACCTATGATGATGGATGAACATGAAGATTAGAAAAACAAGTATGAGAGTCAATCATTCCAGGCGCATTGTTACTCTTGTTTACATATTTCAAAATGTATAAATCTTCTATTAAATGTATATGAATATAAAACTAAGCAAATACTAAGGTATGAATATAATAAATAATCAACTGATTTTGCAAATAAGAATACTTTCAAATATACTTGTCAATATAGATTGAATATTGCCTCATGTAGAAATCAAAATGATGTATGGGAGAAAATTACAAATCTTGAGAAGATAGTCAAAAATTCTTAATGTGACTTCATTATCCTTTTAAAGGTTCTTAAGTGTGAAGGCATATGACTCATATCTATGGGTGTATATGTATAATTGCGGTATTATATCCGTGGTATTATACCGCTGTATTATACAGCACTCTCAAACCATTATACATTATAAATTGTATAATAAAAGGTCTGCCGCTGGCGACAAAGTTAATGGAAAGTCTATTGTTCTCACTCAAAGGACGGAGGGCTCAGCTAATCTGCACATAGCAGTTGGTCTTGTGGTTACCCACTTTTTGTTTTTGTGCGGAATTTAAAACATTTTTTGGAAAATAGTAATGCATTAGCCGTATAAATGGTAATCGGTAGATTTAAATAGAGTGAAGATGGATAATTGCGCATCTCGTATGATCTCGTAGAATGCAGGAGTTGGGCGCAATGTCCGGAACAAGCGCTCCGACTCGAACGATTGATTCTGAAGGGAATCTCCTTCGGCTCAAGGCGCATAATCCGCCTTTGGCGCTAGGGAAATCCCTCAGAACTTATTTAATTCACAATGCCTTGACTTGGTTAGGGCCCCGTTCGAAAGACCTCAACGCGCTCGTTCTAACGAGCTGAAGAACGTTTGAAACGGATGAGAGATCAAGGAGTTATGATTGTCGGAAGATACTGAGAGGTAGCGCCTTCGATGGACGAGCCGCCTTCGGCCCTAGGTCAGCGCCTTCGGGGGTGAACTCCTTCGTACAGCGCCTTCGGCGCTAGCGCATCAAGATTAGGTAAACGCTTTCGGGGGTAGCAACTCCGCACGTTCCGCCTTCGGCCCAACGCCTTCGGCGGTACGGACATGTGCGCCTTTGGCGGAACGGAACTCATGCGGCAAAAGCGCCTTGGGGGGACAAGAGGGATCAACAAAAAAGACAAGAACCGTTGACTGCGGTCAACGCCTTCGGCACAGTCGCCTTCGGCGCTGCACCTACGTCGACGGACGTCTTCAAGATGTTTGCCTTCGGCGCTGGGAGTCAACGCCTTTGGCGGTAGATGTTCGCCTTCGGCGCTACGGGTCAACGCCTTCGGCGAAGCGCCTTCGGCAGTGCGGGATAGATCAGAGTTGCGAGTCGGCCATAGGCGAAAGTCTCTGTAGTCTCTCGCGTAGCGCCGAAGGCGCGGCGCGCCTTCGGCGCTACGCGAACACGGTCACGGCGAAGTACGATGACAAAAATCAAATTCAATTTTTGAGCGTGTGAGTCCGCGCAACGGCGGAGCGTGAAGTCGAGCGTGCGAGAGGAGGGCCGTTACGCCTCCAAGCCGGCGCAGCCATCAAGTGAGTCGACACTCACGACCAATTGTTGACGATGAAATCTTGTGAGCCGAAGGCGGGCGACTCATTCTTGAATTTGCGATTTCGATTTCTCGTGAGAGCTACGCGCGCACGTATTCTAGCAGAGAGAAATCCGAGGATCAGGCGACGCACAGAGACTTGTAAGTTAGCAGAGGGAGAATTGAGTGGGTGACCGCGGGAATTGAGTGAGAGTAGAGTTTGCAGAGAGATCGCATCCGCGGGCAAGAAGCTTGAGCATAGCAGAGGAGAGTTTGCAAAGTGCGATTTCAAGAACGCAATGTCGAAAGCAACTGTGGTAACACACTTTTTGTTTTTTTTGCAGAATTTAAACAATTTTAGAAAACTAGTACCGACGCAGTGTTTGTAGTTAGAAAAGGGTATGTGGTACCCCACTTTTGGCAATTTTGAGGAAATTAAAACATTTTTGAAAAACTGTACCCTAGCAGCATTGTAAATAGCCTTCGGTACATCAAAACGGAGTGAATCCGGAAGATCGCGGGGATTCTCGAGGGATCTTGTATAATCTGGGATTTGGGGTGCAGCAGTAAGGACAGGCACCACCCTCCCTGCGAGCTCTGCAGTTAGGACCCCTACGACGCAAGGCGCAAAACCCGCCTTCGGAGGTTGCGTCCGCGGCTGTAGGGAAACCCTCCATAATTAGGTCAACCCTCGGGCGCCTTGACCAAGTTAGGGTCCCGTTGGAAAGAGCTCGACGCACTGATTTCAACGAGCCCAAGAACGCTTGGAACGGATGAGGACTTAGGGAGTTATCACTATTGGAAGAAACGGAGGCGGTCGCCTACGGCGGAAAGAGTTCGCCACCGGCGCGAATTCCGCCTACGCGGAAGGGGGAATCAAGTTTTGTCCTATGCGCGGACGAAGGCGTTGGCCTGTGCACAGGCGAAGTAGGGTTAGGAGAGGCGCGAAGTCCGCCTACGCACAGGCGCTCGCCTGTGCACAGGCGCTTCGGCGTCGGCGGAAAATCCGCCTTGGGCCCTAGAAATGCGCCTTGTGAGGTAGAAAGTGTACGGCGCCTTCCGCGCCAGCGCAGCGCCACGTACGGCGGAAGAGCCGCCAGAGTAATCAAATCGGTACGGACCATGCGGACGGGACGGGTGGATGCGCTCTTGGACGGACGGAGTTGCGGCGGCGGGAGCGCCGACGAAGAGACAAGGGACGGACAGACTGGACGGAGACGGCTGACCACGGTCAACGCCTTCCGCGCCAGCGCGACGCCGCGCACGGAATTCGCCTGCGCACAGGCGACCGCCTGTGCACAGGAGGATGTTCAAGTTCCGCGCCGGCGGAGCATCCGCCGAGGCTCCCGCCTGCGCACAGGCAGGAGTTGAACTTTTGTCCGACATGCGGACACACGCGTCAAGGCAGAGGAGGATTGGCCGAGGGGCGGTACGAACAAGTGTACCGCGCAAGGCGGAAAACTCGCCTTCGGCGCTACGCCCCCATGTCCGCGGGGTAATACGCTCGCGGAGTTCAAATCCGCCAATTCGAGCGTGAGAGTTTAATCGACGACGGCGGAGCGTGAAGCCGCGCGTGAGAGCAAAGACCGTTCCAGCGTACAGCCGGCGCGGCCATCAAGTGAGACGTTCTTCACGAGCAAGAGCCGACCATGACCTTCGACCGGGCGGCGGAGAACGTCCCATTCTTGAATTCGCGATTCCACTCTCTTGTGCGCGCTGCGCGCATCCATCTGCTGGCTGCTGAACATTCTCGACGTCGCCGCACAGGAGATTTCTTGTTGATTGAGGGAGAAGTGAATGCGCGTGATTTGAAATTGAGGGCGATTAGAGTTTGCCGAGAGAGAAAGAAGCTCGGGCGGTGCGGAAGTAGAATGAGCGGGCGAGCGAACCCCAGGAACGCAATGACGAGACCGAGCAGATTGCGGATGGTGCCACTTCGCCTACCACAGAACGGGCTGCGCGCTTTCGAGGAGCGCTTAATAGCAAGAAAGCTCGATTTCTTGCTATGGGGATGGAACTACATCTGTGCGAATATGGTGCGCGAGTGGCTAGAGCCACAGGGACCACCCTCGCGCGGATTGCGTCCGCATGTTGATCGGTGGACAGTCCAAGATTGGGCGCAGGCGTTGGGAAGATGTGCTGGCATGCCAGGGCATCTCCTTTTCGACAGTGAGAGCATCAAGGTGACCAAGCAGGAAGAGGCGCAATTTGTGGAGCTGTTCAAGACCGGGAGATCTACCAAGAATGGGTACAGGACCCGTGATTACAAGGATCGATTTCGCCAGACTTTGTCCGCGGCGCTGATGCAATTACTGCAGCCGCACCGCGCCTGCTACATCACATTGTGGCAGGTCTCTTTTGTGGAGTGCGTCATCGAGGGAACTCCAATTCACTGGGCGAGCATCCTGCACAGAGTGATGCGACAGCACGCGTTTGAGGAGAAGGGGGGAACTCTAAACCATCTCTCTCCTTTCCTCATCAATTTTTATCGACAGCGGAATTGTTTGACAGCGGCGGAGCTTGAACATTTTCCGCCATTGTCCATCGACCATCCCGGGAAGTATGTGCGGGAGTGTAATAACCCACTAAAGGCTAAAACTGCAATATAGTGGTAGAAAGGTCGAACCCACAGGGACAGAGGAACACACAGGGTACAAAGTGTCACGTTTTAACAGACTATTGAGGAGTTTGAATTCTCAGGCAACTGTCACTCCGAGAAATACTGCAAGTGTCCACTCGGAGCGCACTCGGAGGTCGCACAGTGCAGCGTAACACACACACACACACACCTGAAACTACAGAAACACAACCCAGAGATCCGTTAGGACCTCTACTTCAAGATTTCAGGGGGAAAGTCTCTCGCGAGCACACTCGGCAAAGCTGCGGGCAGTGACTTCCAACTCCGGCTTTTACAACGCTTCCACTAGCTTGCTGCTAGCGTAGGAAACCCGGTTTGGACTGCCTACTTCGGATCGAAGTCACTCATCCGCGGTGAACAACACTCTCAACTCACAAAACGCGCAGAGAACACAGGTCCACACTGAAGGACTCACTGTGAAACATTCCAGTAACACAACAACAGTCTATTGAAGAGTTTGAATTCTCATGCACTTGTCATTCCCAGAAATACTACAGGGGTTACCCTCAAGGCACCTGCTGGAGCGTAACCTGAATTTACAACCAAGGCTTACACGAAGTAGCAAAACTTCACTTTGGCATTCAGGGGAAAAATCCCAAAGGAGTACAATCAGGAAGAAACACTCGAAGGTGTAGGGGCGAAACTGTTCAAGTATCTAACTAGTCACTGGCTCTAAGCATCGGCAGTCACCCGCAGGTGC